GTTTCACATTAAGTCTTTAATCCATCTTCAATGGATTTTTGCACTTTTAATATAATCCAATATTTCTCAGAGATTTTGTTCATTTTTTTGCATATGGTGTGAAGAAGGGGTCCAGTTTCAGTTTCAGTCTTCTGCATATGGCTAGTCAATCATCCCGGCACTATTTATTGAACAGGGAGTCCTTTCCAAATTGTTTTTTTAAATTTGTTGAAGATCAGGTAGTTGATGTGCAGCTTTGCTTCTGGGACAGAGTGAGACCCTGTCTTAAAGTATCTGGGTCCTCTATTCTGTTCTATTGCTCTGTGTCTGTTTTTGTACCAGGACCATAGTGTTTTGCTTACTGTAGCCTTGTAGTATAAAGTTGGGTAATGTGATGCTTCTAGCTTTGTTCTCTTCGCTTATGATTGCCTTGGCTGTTCAGGCTTTTTTGGTTCCATATGAATTTTAGAATACTTTTTTTCTAATTCTGTAAAAAATGTCCTTGATCATTTAATAGGAATAGCACTAAACCTGTAAATTGCATTGGACAGTATGGCCATTTTAACAATATTGATTTTTCCTATCCACGAGCATGGAATGTTTTTCCATTTGTGTTGTCTCTGATTTATTTCAGCAGTGGTTTGTAATTCTCATTGTAGAGAGCTTTCATCTTCCTGGTTAGCTAGCTGTATTTCCTAGGTATTTTAACTTTTTGTAGCTACTGTGAATGGGGTTATGTTCCTGATTTAGCTCACAGTGTGGATGCTGTTGGTGCATAGAAATGCTACTAATTTTTGTACATTGACTTTGTAATCTAAAACTTTGCTGAAGTTGCTTATCGGATCAAACAATTTTTGGGCAGAGACTATGGGCTTTTGTAGGTATAAAATGACATTATCTGAATGTAGAGATAGTTTGACTTCCTTTTATATTTGGTTGCTTTTTATGGGTCTCTCTTTGCTTATTTCTCTGGCTTGGACTTCCAGTACTATGTTGAATAAGGGTGGTGAGAGTGGAAATCCTTGTCTTGCTCTGGTTCACGAGGGGAATGCCTCCAGCTTTTGCCTGTTCAGTGTGATGTTGGCTGTGGGTTGGTCATAGATGGCTCCATTATTTTGAGGTATGTTCCTTCAGTGCATAGTTTGTTGAAGATTTTTAACATGAAGGGATGATGAATTTTATGGAAAGCCTTTTCTGCATCTATTGAGATGATTATACATTTTTTGTTTTTATTTCTGTTTACGTGATGAATCACATTTATTGATTTGTGTTTGTTGAACCAACTTTGCATCCCATGGATAAAGCCTACATTTTTGTGGTGGATTAGCTTTTTGATGTGCTGCTGGATTTGCTTTGCTAGTATTTTTTTCAGGATTTTTGCATCTATATTCATCAAGGATATTGGCCTAAAATTTTTGTTGTTCTTGTGTCTCTGCCAAGTTTTGGTACTGGAATGAGGCTAGCCTCATAGAATGAATTAGGGAGGAATCCTTTCTCCTCAAATGTTCTTGAATAGCTTCAGTAGTAATGGTACCAGCCCTTCTTTATCTGTCTGGTTGAATTCAGATATAAATCCACTTGGTCCTGGACTTTTTCTGGTTGGCAGGCTTTTTATTACTGAATCCATTTTGTAACTTGTTATCTGTTCAGGGTTTCAATTTCTTTCTGGTTCAATTTTGAAGAGTTGTGTGTTTCCAGGAATTTACGCATTTCTTGTAGGTTTTTTAGTTTTTGTACAGAGGTGTTTGTAATAGTCTCTGCAAATTTTTTTTATTTCTGTGGGGTCAGTGGTAATGTCCTCTTTGTCACCTATGTGTTTATTTGGATCTTCTCTTTTTCTTTATTAGTCTAGCTAGCAATCTATCAATCTTATTCTTTCAGGGAAGCAACATCTGGTTTCATTGATCTCGTTTGGTTTTTCACATCTCAATTTCATTCAGTTCAGCTCTGACTTTGGTGATTTATTGTCTTTTGCTAGCTTTGGGGTCTGTTTGGCCTTGTTTCTTTAGGTCCTCTAGATAAATTTGAGGCTGTTGAGATCTTCCTAACTTTTTAATATGGGCGTTTAGCACTGTAAGCTTTCCTCTTAACACTGTGTTCACTATGTCCCAGATTCTGCTACGTCACTTCTTTGCTTTTTCATTTGTTACAAATAATTTCTTGATTTCTGCCTTGATTTCATAGTTACCCCAAAAGTCATTCAGGAGCAGGTTAATTTCCATGTAATTGTATAGTTTTGGGTGATTTTCTTAATATTTATTTCCATTTATATTGCACTGTGGCCTCAGAGTGTGGTTGATATGCTTTTGCTTTCATACATTTTTTTTCTTTCTGAGAATTGTTTTATGGGCAATGTATAGTCAATTTCAGAGTATGTGCCATGTTCAAATGAGGAGAATGTATATTCTGTTTTTGTGTGGAGTGTTCTATAGTTGTCTACTAGGTCTGTTTGTGCAAGAGTTGAGTTCAGGTCCTGAATATCTTTGTTAGTTTTCTGCCTCAAAGATCTGTTTAATACTGTAAGTGGGGTATTGAAATTTCTCACTTTTATTGTGTTGTTATCTAAGTCTCTTTGAAGGTCAGTCTCTAAGAACTTGTTTTATGAATCTGGTTGTTCCAGTGTTGGGTGCATATATATTTAGGACAGTTAACTCTTCTTGTTGATGTGAACCCTTAATGCCCTTGTCTCTTTGTCTGTTGGTTTAAAGTCTGTTTTGTCTGAAATTAGAACAGCAACCCTTGTTATTTTTTAATTTGCTTCATACATTTTTCTCCACCTCTTTACTTTGAGTCTAGGTGTGTCACTGCATATGAGGTGGGTCTCTTGAAGACAGTGTATAGTTGGGTCTTGCTTCTTTATCCAACTTGCCACTCTGTGCCTTTTAAGTGGTGCGTTTAGCCCATTTTTGTTTAAGGTCCATAATAATATGTGCAGATTTTATCATGTCATCATGCTGGTAGCTGGTTGTTATGCAGACTCATATAATTGCTTTATAGTGTCAATGGACTATGTATATAAGTGGGTTTATGTGGTGACTCTTAATCTTTCATTTCCATATTTAGTACTCCTTTAAGGACTCCTTGTGAGGCAGGTCTCGTTGCAATAAATTTTCCTAACGTTTGTCTGAAAAGAATCTTCTTCAATTATAAAGCTTAGTTTGGCTGGATATGAAATTTTTGGTTGGAATTTCTTTTCTTTGAGAATGCTAAGTATAAGACCCCAATCTCTTCTGGCTTGCAGGGTTTCTGCTGAAAGGTCCATTGTTAGTATGATGGAGTTTCTTTTGTAGGTGACCTGCCCCTTCTCTCTAGTTGCCTTTAAATATTTTTTTAAGTTGACATTGGAGAATCTGATGACTACGTGTATTGGAGATGGTTGTCTTGTATAGTACATTGCAGGGATTCTCTGCATTTTCTGAATTTGAATGTTGACCTCACCAGTGGTGAGCTTTTTGTAGATGATATCCTCAAATATGCTTTCCAACTTACTTGCTTACTGTCTGTCTCTTTCAGGGATGCCAATGAAACATAGTTTGAGTCATAGGTCTTTTTATATAGTCCCAGATTTCTCAGAGATTTTATTCATTCTTTTTAATCCTTTGTTCCTATTTCTGTCTGAGTTTCAAATAACTGGTCTTCAAGCTCTGAGATCCTTTCCTGAACTTTATTCTGCTATTAATAAATCTGATCATATTATGAAATTCTTGCAGTGAGTTTTTCGGCTGTAGCAGATTCATCTGGTTCTTTCTTAAAGTGGTCTTTCAGCTCTCATATTGTTTTATTGGATTCCTTCCACTCCTTGGATTAGGTTTTGACTTTCTCTTGAATCCCAATGATTTTTGTTCCTATCTAGATTCTGAATTCTGTATCTGTCACTTCAGTCATTTCAGCCTGGCTAAGCACTAGGTTACTAATGTGGTAGTTTGGAGGTGGGGATGCATTCTGGCTTTTTAAGTTGCCAGAGTCCTTGTGCTGGTTCTTTCTCACCTGGGTATGCTGATGTTCCTTTCATCTTTTGAAGCTGCTGTCCTTTTGATAGGGTTTTTTGCTTTTATCTTTTTTTTTTTTTTTTTTTTTTTTTTTTTTTTTTTTTGAGACAGAGTCTTGCTCTGTCACCCAGGCTGGAGTGCGGTGGCACAATCTCAGCTCACTGCAACCTTCACCTCCTGGGTTCAAATGATTCTGATTCTCCTGCCTCAGGCTCCTGAGTAGCTGGGATTAAAGGTGCCTGCCACCACACCTGGTTAATTTTTGTATTTTTAGTAGAGATGAGTTTCACCATGTTGTTCAGGCTGGTCTTGAACCCTTGACCTCATGATTCGCCGCCTTGACCTCCCAAAGTGCTGGGATTACAGGTATGAGCCACCATGCCCAGCCTTTTATCTTCTTTGATGCCCTTCAGGGTTTAACTGTGGTATAAGTGGCAGCACAGTAGGGTGTGTGTGTGTCAGCAGAGGTGGGGTACAGGTGGGAGCAGGATGGTGAGGACTGCCCATGGGTGCCAGCAAAGTGGTGCAGGGAGGTTGTAGTGGGAGTAGGCTGTGGGTGGGTGGGTGCACACCAGTATGGTCTGCCTGTAAAGGAGCTATGTTGGCAGGCACTGGGGAGCACCCTGGTTGGGCATCTGTGGCTGCACTGCAAGTGGGCATGGCCAGGCAGGGGCTCCCAGAGGCCAGCAGATTAGGGGAGCAGGAAGTGCCAGACTCTTTTAAACAACCAGCTGTCATTGTTGTTAACTGGGAACAATTAACTTGTCCTTGGGAACTGAGCAAGAAGTCACCTCTCCTACCACTGTAGGGCATTCATCTATCCATCAGGGACCCACCCCCATGACCCAAACACCTCCCATTAGATTCCACCTCCAACACTGGGGATCCAATTTCAACATGAGATTTGGAAGGACAAACATTTAAATTGTAGCACATTCCTAAGCAGAAGTATGTACCTATATGCACCAAAATTCATGTACTAGATATCTGGATAAGTACTCGTTTCCAAACAGTAAATGAACCAAACAGCCGTCAGATAAATAGTATGTGGTTTATTCACACAACGAAATATTATACAACCATGAGAATGAAAAACCATGTACAAATACATGCAACAATAATCCCACAGACATAATACTGGGGGAAAGAAACCAGATACAAAGGATGCGTAATGCTTAATTCTATTCATGTATCACCCAAACCAGACAGAACTAATCTATGCTCTTAGAATTCAGGATAGTGGTTTCCCTTGGAGAGGTAGCTAACTGGAAGGGATCTGATGGGGGACTTCTGGGGTGCTGATTGTATGCACATGTTCCATTTGTGAAAAATCACTGATGTGTTTCTATAGTTATACTTTAATAAAAAGTTAAACAAAATTATTTGCCTCTGTCTGGATACTCGACTGAAACTGAAAAAAACTGTCTCCTTCTCTCGCAACCTCTCACCTTGGCTACACTCTTACACTCGCATTCTCAGCTCCTGCCACTTGCAAATGGTGAGGGCGGGAAGAGGACCCTTCTCCCTATCATGCAGACTAAACTAGAATTGCTACAGGTCAGGCTGCTAAAAGAGGTCTACCAAACTGAAATTCAGGTCTTATCTTTGCTTCCTGCCAGTGCACTCCAGTGCTCTCCTGCTCTCTCTACCCCTCTCTCTCAACAAAACCCCTTACTCAGAAATAAACACTCCTCCCAGGGAACATCTAAGTAGCAAAAAGGATGGGGCTCTAATAGTTAACATTTCAAACTGCAGGTGGTGGATGGGTGAGGAGTCATCTGGGCTGACACCCTTGGAGGTATATAACAAGCACTTGGAGGGCAGGTCCAACTTGGGGAGTGGGTGTGAAAATCCTGGCTCTCTTTTGGGCAAGTCTGTACCCTCTATGACTCAGTTTCCTCATCATTAAAATGGGGATAATGGTGCTCACAGAGATGTTATAACAATCAAAATAAATTACCACAGGTGAAGCATTTAGCAAAGTGACCGACTTAGGTAGGAGGCTAATAAACATTAGCTGTCAGCTCAGCTTTGTCCAAAGTATGCTGTCCCCAAGAAAGCACAACCCAGGAGAAGTCCAGGGAGCAGGAGACTTTAGGGCTTGCTCAAAAGTCTCCACAGCCAAGCTGTGCAGAGTACCCTTGGATGTCCTGCACTTCCTCAGTATTGTGGTTAGGGGCAGGCGTTAAGCAGTGGGGTGGCTTTAGGCCTACATGGGGGCAGAGGACAAACTGGGAAGCACAAGAGGGAGAACTACTGACAGTGCCCTGGGCTCCAGTCCCATATGTATGTGCTAAATATCATTACATAAGTGTAGCAGGCTTTGCACCGGTTGCCTTCAAAGAATTAGGAATGCTGCTCAGAATGAAAACACTTAAGTGGGTAGCGTTTGACATAGCAGCAACTAGGGAGGTTCTAACATCACACACTTATACTTCATATTTGACCAACAGACCATCAAGTACCACAGGCATTTTGGTACAACTTCTGTTATTGGCGCCCGGTCCCTGGATTTGGCCTCTATTTTGCAGACGTAGAAACCCTGTGTGGGGACTAGCTAGAGATAACCCAAATGCACAAGGCCTGAGGTAGACAACAGAAAGTCAGTTTTTCAACAAAAACGATGTCTGGTAGCTAGAATATTCACACTGGCATTTTTGTCCTGCAGTCAGACCTATACAAGTAGCTAAACCTTCACCACAGTGATACTTGAAGAATACTTGAATACAAATCAAAATTACATAATGGCACTAAGCTAAAAGGCTGAAGAAGAAATTCCCAAGAGTTAACAGAACTGGAAACCTGGCCATCTCATGGCTGAGCATGGTTTGTCTGCTTTTCTATGCTGATCAATATAGTCCCAACTCTGTACTTATCCTCTATTAACATGTGAAGTCAGACAGTGGTCATGCTCCCTCAATTTCCAGGTGTGGGTGGGGGAGCAGGCTGCAAAACTCACTGTACTGGCAATCTTCCTTTAAGTCATTACAAGAATGCATTAATATAAGCAAGAGTCTCCACCCAATGTTTTCTCTGGCTGAAGGTCAATTTCTTTGGAGAGTCACCCTGGACCCAGAGTGCCTGGTTGGGTACTGAAGGAACAGGAGGGCCAAGCTCGATGGTGCAGTGACTCTGCAGAGGTGTCACTCTAGCATGCTTGCAATACTTTCCGCAGGTTAGAACACGGCTCCCTCAGATGTGGTTAAAAATAGCCAGCTCCTCTCCCTCAACATAAGCCATTAGTGCTTTCTCAAGTATATTCTAGGCCCGAAGAATTCATCAGCATTCTTGGTTACATCACAATCCAGCCATGTTTCCAGATCAATCACTGCAATCTCCAATTCCGTCATTCCCACCAATAGCTGGTTAGACCTTCATTTCTAATTCCATTATCAGAGGATAAACTGCATGGCAGGTCTGGGAGTGCCCCACTTCACCAAGCCTGCTGCAACAGGTGCTCTTCCTGGCCCAACGGTGAAAAGCCATACCCCCCGAATCCCCATAATTGTTACCGTAAGTCCTGCATAGAAAACCAAACACTTAGACTGCAGGGTATGTCAAGGAAGAGTCCTATCAGCTCCCTTCCACCTTGGTGATCGGAGACGATAGTCAGGGGAACCTTTAGTCCTTTTTCTAATAATTAAGTCAATGTCCAGAAAAATTAATTGCAGCAAGGAGACACAGGGATGGGGGTGGGGTGGAGGGTGGTAGCGAAAGAAGAACTGATAAGGCAACAGACAGGCAAAGCTCAAGGAGAAAGGTGGACACCTGAACATAGTGCCTGCAGGGGTGGCTACAGGGAGCCTCCCCCATGCCAACAACAGTGAACTCAGTACCCAGAGCATCTTCTCAGATCTGATCTCACTCTCTGCTCCTTTCTCTTCACTGAGGCTTTAGGAACTCTATCTTTCTGGTCTCTCTGCTTTGTATTACTGCTGGCTACTCTATCCTTTGGAGGATTCTTCTCTTCTCCAAATCACCCAGGGAGTGGAACTGGCTGAAAGAGGCTAAAAGTACATGTATTATTATTACCTACTAATTAAGACCAGTAAATGTAAACGAGGAAATAATGATGATGCTTTTCCTGTACCTACCAAACTATCAATATACTTCCGGGCACTGCCCTAGAATAAAAATGAACCTGAATATCTAACAGGAAGATTCCTTTTCCCCACCTCCCTGACATCATTTACAAACCTTTCCTAGCTAATGGCAGCCACCAGTCAGATGCAGTATTATGTATTTCCCAAATGACTTAAGGCAAAAAGACTTATTTTTGTGAACTGCTAACAGTTTGGAGATTGACAGACGGCAGAAGGAACTGAAATGAGGAAACCCATGCTTTCTTGCTAAAAAGTTTGCAACTCTAACACCATGAACAGTTAATAGATGTAAATTAATGAAGACACTCTGTTTTTAAAACAAGTACTGTGAATTACTACAAAAAGTAATGTTTTGGTATACCATGGCTTAATAATTTAAAAAAGAATGCTCAATTACTCTGCTTCATTCTTGAAGTTTTTCACTACATCTACATCTAAAAACTGGCAAGTTTTTCAAACGGTGGTGTAAAGTAAGGACAACAGTTCACATAGGGACCAGTTTTGGAAAAGCAGTCAATTACACAAGTGACAACTTTAACAATGGTTCCTATGGTGCAAAGTGCTGAGGTTGTAACAGAGGAGCAGGTTTTGCTTATTTCTGTGCTGAAGTGGGTACACAGCATCAGTTGGTGAGAATATTCCTATAGCAGTTCCATGCATAAATTTGGAAAAAATGTGCAACATGTTTACATGAGAGGGATTTCCACTAAATCTTAAGAGAAATAACTATGGCACCATGGTTCAATGAAGAAAGGTAAATGTGTCTAAATCACAATCTTGGTAACTAGAAACATTAATTGCTATGGTAGCAAATTCTCAAAAGAAAGCCCCAAAATTCCAAAATTCTATGCTGCCACTTAAAATGTCTAACCAGCTCTTGAATTGCAATATGTTAATGATTATTTCAAAATGCAACAAATTGCTAAAATTTTTGCTTTTATGAACATCTGAAATTGAGTTTTAAACTTGTAACTTTAGCAATACATATTGAACACTTACATTCAACTGTACAGAATGCAATCCATTAAATCTTGAAAAATGCTATATAATAAAACAATAGAAACGAGCACACTATGAAAATGCTCTCTGACCAATTCCACAACCGCAATAAATTTAATACTGTAAACACACACCGGACAAATCTGAGCACTGTGGAAAGAGTTTAGTTGCTTTAACAAGTCATATTATAATTTTTATGAGCTAAGATTGTAGATGCAAATGGAATTCTTAGAATGTTACTTAAAAATAGATTTTTAATGACAGAGGTCCCAACTCATTCTTATATATACATGCAAAAGTTCATCTGTCACAGACAGCAAATGTTGAATTTCTACACTGGAGTTTCTGGAAGCATCCTGCACATTTGGAATTAAAATCAACAAACAGAGAAATGTCAAATATATTGAGATGGGTTGTTCAAATTTGTGCAGGACAGAACATAGCCCCTCTGGGACTACTACATACATGCTCATTGCTGCTTCTCAAAGGCAAATACCAAGTAAATACCTAAAGAGGAAATAAATAAAAGAGTTTAGTTTCTCATATGATTACAGTAAACAAAGCAATCTCTGTCTTGTTCATAATTTGGTGAAAATTCTTAGGCTCTCAAGCAGCTTCTGAAGAGGAAAATCCCCGTTAATTCTAAGAGTTCCTCTATTACTTAAATCATTTTTAGGCAGATGTGGGATGTATATGTTTACTCAAAAACAATTATCTGCCTACAATAATACTCTATGACATTGCAGCCCATGGGAAAACCAGTTCAACAGCTCTAAAAAATCAGTTTAAGGTAAGAAAAATAAAAGTATAACTAGATTAAAAGTATAATAAAATTATAACAAAGAAAACGAATTAAAAATATTAAAGATACTTTAGAAAACTAGAATTAAAGGTACATACATAAAATGACATGTTAACAATTCACCTAATTATCCAATTACTGTGTTGTAGGGCCTTGCAAAGAAAGTGAACTAAAAGCTCTTAAGATAATAAAAGTTCTTAAAAGTGCTACTCCAAGGAACACACTGGAATAAGAAAGCAAACAGCCTTCCTACTGATTTTCAGAAAAAGTTTGAGTGGTCTGCAGTGATGAACCAGCTACAACATTCCCTTTATCCAAAGCCTAATTCAGAGGCCCTAACTCTCTTCAATTCTATGAAGGATGAGAGAGGTGAGGAAACTGCACAAGAAAAGTCTGAAGCTAGAAGTTGGTTCATGAGGTTTAAGGAAGGCAGCCACCTTCATAATGTAAAGTGCAAGATGATGCAGCTAGTGCTGATGTAGAAGCTGCAGCAAGTTATGCAGAAGATCCTGCTAAGATCCTCAAGGAAGGTGGCTATACTAAAGATCTTCAATGCAGATGAGACAGCTTTCTATTAGAAGATGCCACCTAGGACTTTCATTGTTACAGAAAATTCAGTACCTGGTTTCAAAGCTTCAAAAGACAGGGTGATTATCTGCTGGTGACTTTAAGATGAAGCCAATGCTCATTTATCCTTCCAAAAATCCGAAGGCCCTTAAGAATTATACAAAATCTGCTCTGCTCATGTTCTATAAATGGAAGAAAGCCTGGATGACAGTGTATCTGTTCACATCACGGTTTACTCAGTATTTTAACCCTACTGTTGAGACCTATTGCTCAGAAAAATAAAGTTCTTTTCAAAATATTACTGCTCATTGGCAATGTGCCTGTTCACCCAGGAGGACAGATGAAGATGTGTTGGGATTCACTTAGGGTGGCTTGCAAAATATTAGGGAAATATTAGGGAAAGTTATAGATTATGTTAGAACTTTAAGTCATAGAGTAAAAGATTAGGGATAATAAAAGTTTCCCCAGTTAAAGTCTGTTTACCCCACATCCCTTTGTCTCTACTCTAATTTGTTTACTCACGTAAACTTTGTGCTGGATGACCCTCTCAGGAGGAGGTTGAAGGGCAATTACCTATTAATAGTATTTACTCTGGGCCCAGGAACCAAGACCTTTTATCATTCGTAAAACCACTCTTTTAATCATGTTAATTATCCACAAGCATGTTGACTTAGAACCTCTGTTATTAAAACTGGACTGAATAAATATAAGCAAGGACAGGGAATCATGTCAGTTAGCTGCAACTGCCCTCTGAAAGCAGTTGACAATCATGAGTCAGGGTCTGCTGGACAGACCTCCGCTGGTGGTGATCAATGGCTCAAAGATGTACAAGGAGATTAACGTTATTTTCATGCCTGCTAATACAACACCCATTCTGCAGCCCATGGATCAGGGAGTGATTTTTATTTTTAAGTCTTATTATTTAAGAAATACATTTTGTAAGGCTGCTATAGATAGTGATTTCTCTGATGGGTCTGAAGTAAATTAAAAACCTGATGGAAAGGATTCTCCATTCTAGATACCATTAAGAATGCTCATGCTGGTCACTCTCCAATGCCAGCACCACCTCTCGCTCACTGAGCTCCAGCTGAAGAAGGGGGGTAAGTAAGGAGGTCTCTATACCATGGCTCGTACAAAGCAGACTGCCCACAAATCTACCGGTGGTAAAGCACCCAGGAAGCAACTGGCTACAAAAGCCACTCACAAGAGTGCACCCTCTACTGGAGGGGTGAAGAAACCTCATCATTACAGCCTGGTACTATGGCAATCCGTGAAATTAGATGTTATCAGAAGTCCACTGAACCTCTGATTTGCAAACTTCCCTTCCAGCATCTGGTGCGAAAAATTGCTCAGGACTTTAAAACAGATCTGCACTTCCAGAGCACAGCTATCAGTGCTTTGCAGGAGGCAAGTGAGGCCTATCTGGTTGGCGTTTTTGAAGACATAAACCTTTGTGCTATCCATGCCAAATGTGTAACAATTATGCCAAGACATCCAGCTAGCACACCGCATATGTGGAGAATGTGCTTAAGAATCCACTATGATGGGAAATATTTCATTCTCAGAAAAAAAAAAAATTCTCTTCTTCCTATTATTGGTAGTTCTGAATGCTAGATAATTTTTTTTCCATGGGGTCAAAAGGTACCTAAGTATATATGATTGTGAGTGGAAAAACAGGGGACAGAAATCAGGTATTGACAGTTTTTCCATTTTCATTTGTGTGTGAATTTTTAACATAAATATGGAGACATAAAGCATTAATGCAAGTTAAAATGTATCAGTGAACAAGTTTCAGCGGTTCAACTTTATAATAATTATAAATAAACTTGTTAAATTTTTCTGGACAATGCCAGCATTTGGATTTTTTTTAAAACAAGTAAATTTTTTATTGACAGAAAAAAGTATGTGTATTTG